ACCCACATTTGCGCTTCTTTGAATAGATGCGTTTGTGTCTCGCGAATAATAGAGCCTTTATTACAGGCACATCATGTATCTGTGGTGAATTCTTCCCATGCTGAGGGTGGAGTACTGTACCAGTGCGAACCAACAATGGATCATGACAAAATATAAACAAGCTACGTCAAAACTCCAGACTGCGGTGGTCAACAGGGAAGTTTTGTGGCAAACCCAGGCTGCCTACTTTTTGTATACTTTAGCCTGTGATGTACCTGAGTCGACCTTCGAATAATGAACACCAATGATCAGTCGACCTCAGCTAACTTTGTGTTCTAGCGTATATCGATTTAAAGGACAGCTTGCCCAATATTAAGTTCTTGCCTGTTAGAAGTTCACCTGTTAGAAGTTTAGGAGTGGTCAGTAGCAAGAGTGGGATCTTAATTGGTAGATTGAACACTGTTGTGGGAGTGTGGGTTAACCGTTTATGTAACAGAAATCTGAAGTAGGTTTTCCTAAACACACAGATCCAATTTAATGTTGTAACTTGAGATAGCCTCTACCCGTGGTAGAATAGTTTCCTCACTTAGATGACTAACAAATCGGAATAAATCTAATATACTCTAGCAAATTAGACCTAAGTAGACCATTCATGTAATCGCTCTGGATAGTGTGCTGGCATCCAAACATAATTTTGCCTTCACCTTACATCAAGATACTTGTTCCCGGACAAATCTACATAGATAAAACATCGCATCTTTGGTTGGGCAGAAAAGGCAGATCTTCCAGTACTCGTGGTATTAGCTTGGTCCTAGTGTAATGCACAAGTAAGGTAACTGGAAGTCTACGTAATGCCGGACTACGCAGCAGGTTGAACATAGCCTCGGATTAATTTCTAGCATCGAGGAAGGCCGGTATCTGAGTATAGCCAGTGCAGGATATTCCACTAGGAAGCTTACACATAATATGTCTAGATACTGATAGCTGGGCTTGGTTCTTTGGATAACGGGTTAGGTGGCAGTTGATCAGCGGCTAATAAACATAGATACTCGCTTTTCTTTTCAGGAGAGTGTTCCTACAGGGTAACTCTCAAGGAAATTACTTGAGGTGCGATTAGTTTCAATGATTAATGGCAATTTAGCTCATGATTCAGCTTAACTTGAATACGACTCAATCTTTCTTGGGTTCTGTGGCAAGTTACTTGTTGGGGTGGAAGGCGTTTAGGTTCTGGGCATTTCCTTTTCGAGTACCACTAAAAGTGATACATTCACCGTCCAGCGAAACTAATTCGCTGGGTTGATACGTAGCCAAAATATTCCCACTTGAATACGACTCAATCTTTCTTGGGTTCTGTGGCAAGTTACTTGTTGGGGTGGAAGGCGTTTAGGTTCTGGGCATTTCCTTTTCGAGTACCACTAAAAGTGATACATTCACCGTCCAGCGAAACTAATTCGCTGGGTTGATACGTAGCCATAAATATTCCCGAAAAATCATACTCATCTGGTCACTATTATGGCTCTATGTATAAACAATTGTGTCCCATCTAACAAGCCATTTTCTCCGATGGCCACCCACGAAAGATAATCGTTTTACTCATGGATATCTCTACGTTTTAAATGAGATACTGCGATGCTTTCGGATGGGGAATGGTATGCTGTCTCTTGCAAGTCACTTTACGTGGGCTGTATAAAGGTTCATCTTCGTTGACTGGCGGATTAATGCACATATGTGTGAACTTGTAGTCTGTTCAATGTGGGGCTTGAAACTGCTGTTCATATTAGAATTCAGTTTCTTTGATCGCCTATTTGAAATTGTAATGAATACGCCGGCCATATGTATCAGGTTTAACGGTATGTATCGTAAACAATGTTTCGTTTTGGGAAAGGTGTCTCACTCTGCATGATAAATAATATGTAGTTCGGCTGCTTCGTTAAAGTAAGCCTGTCGATCAAATAAAGTAGGTGGAACTGCTCTATGAGCTGAAACATTTAATGTATCACGTCAGAATCCGAAAAGCACGTACTACCAAGTTCTGAATGACAGGTACTGAAAAAAAATATAAACGTGCTGCCTGTATTCAGTAAACTACCATTGATCTGCTGGATCGGGAAATGTTATTGTCTTGGCTAAATAAACTGTTCAGTCTCTTTGATCATGCAGTCAGCCGAGCGGCTCCATAAAGCGTGTCAATCAGCTTGGATCCACTACTTATTCGAAAGTGGTAAACATATTTGTTCCTCAAAGTACCGAGTTGTTGTTGACGTTATTTCACGGACGTGCTGCCAACAACAACGAAGCGGCAAAGGAAAAATAAATGTCACTACGGTCCCATTTCATGTATTGTTCTAAAGGGATAAAGTTTTCCGGGATAGGAATTTTTGTCAGTCATAAGTGAATCGACATCCGAAACTTTCGATTCCTCGTACCTGGTTGAGGAAACATCCCAACATCAAAAGTTTGCCAACTAAATAGTGAACGGTGGCACGGGAACACGCATGGTATTGGACCACTCCCCTTGGAGCCGACTGTGTAGCCCAGATGCCAGTCTGGGTGAGTTCAGCCACTCCAGACATTGCCAACCACCCTGTATAATGTCAATGAGCTGGTTACTTTCAATAATTTGCAACATGATTAATCAAGCGTCTCCGCACCAGTTCAAACCAGTACATTGGAGAGATTATTGGGGCTAACGTCTGAGGAATGTGGTAACTGGATACTGGCTTTGTAGCCCACCGTCAAGTTCACGTTTATGGAACTGTCGACACGAACATGGTTGCACAATTGGCCTGCGCTTCTTATCCCCATCTTTTTCTGACGAACCCCGGCCTGAGTCAACAGTCGGTAGGAACACCCACCTGGCATAATGCAGGTAAACTTGCTCGAGTGAAGAATTCCGATGTCTGCTGCTCGCAGCAGGTGTCACAAACACTCATACGTCTAAGTAACCGTATGAATTTATCTTGTAACGCGCAAACCTCGCTGTTCGTGAAACTGGAGCAAGATTCTCCTGGCCATCAACATCAAAATCCAGTTACATGTGCTTAACTGGCAAGTATAACCGGACGAATCCTCATCTAGTGCCCCTGAACAAACTCCGAAGACTATATCGTCTGGTACAAATAAACCATGGATTGTGAGCTCAATCTTTGAACCCCATTCTAACAGTTTGCTCGCTAGTATTGACCTTTGCAATTTACCCGACGGCTGTATTATGGCACCATGGCACTTCTGGGCCTCCATACCTACAAGACATTTGCAAACACATTGAATCCAGCCTCCTAACACCATTGTCAACTAGCTTGTCGTGTTCCGGCCAATCGAAAGTAGATTCGCCGAGCCAATGAATCCACAATCCAGACCCTATACCACCAAAGAGGAAAAGATTCAGTGTCTACTGTGCTCGATGTGTCGCGAAAGAACGTATACAAAAGCGTTCTACCTCTGAATGCCGAGAATTAATGGAAATANGGAAAGAAATAGGTGCTATCTGCTCCAAAACACGTGGATCGCCGGGCAAGTCGCACATTGCTACTATCCGACTGCTGTTTGATCGAGCGAATCACAGCTGATGAAGTCGGCTATACGAACCGTTTAATGAGCAATTCGTTCCCAGATTTGGACGACTTCATACCCAGGATGCTTCACTGGTGCAATGCCTAGCGCCCTTGATGGGTATTTCAACTTAGTTTTATTACCTGACACTTGTCCCACGGCATCTGTGAATGAGCAATTCGTTCCCAGATTTGGACGAGTTCATACCCAGGATGCTTCACCGGTGCAATGCCTAGCGCCCTTGATCGGTATTTCAACTTAGTTTTATTACCTGGCACTTGTCCCACGGCATCTGTATCGTGTTCGTATTATCCTAGTTCCGCAGGTCACAAATCCTATTTCACCAGGCCAAATGAGACAGATCTTCGTGTTATGCATTATTTTCCTATGCTTTCATAAGATGCTAGCTGATCACTGTAGCCGTGAATGCAACTACAGTTTGCAACTCTACATCAAAAAGGTCGTTTGGAAATTACGTCGCCTTTACATGCTTTGCTTCCTCACTTTTCAGCGAGTGTCCATAACCTCAGCTAGGCATTTGCTGATATCTCAAAAGCGTTCGATTCGGGTTCGCATGTGACACGATCGTCAGCTGTGCGAAGGTATTTGAAGCGCCGTCTTCCCTACTTCAATACATCGCGCAGTCCCATCAGAATGTTTTAGGAGTGCTCCCCAATTCCGAGGTCAACTACCACAGAGGTGTGAGGTAGGAGGGATCCCTCTCCCCCAGTATTTTTAATCACGGCAATGAATGACGTTCTCGGATTTTCGATCCCGCAACTAGGATACCAGTTCTATAACACTTTAGTGGATGGTTTTGCCTTTTTTGACGGCTGAGTCGTGTGGGCAGAAAGTTAGGCTTGCCTTAAAGAGAAGCTTGAAGCTTCCGCAATCGAGCTGGAAGGAGATGGCATGAATATAAACGCTCAAAAGACAAAAGTGATGGTGATTCGTAGGGACAGATAACAGCTGGCGGCAGCGGTCTCAGTCGAACTATTTCGCTTCATCGAGGAACTCATCACACCTCTTGGTCCGACAGACACCGTGACATATGTTTAAGAATCCCCTTTACTTTAAATTGAAAAGGAGTCTGCAACTACTAATAGAAGTTGCTCAAACTGCTTGATGTGGTGACGCGTACCCCTTTGGGGTCGTACCATAGAACTGAGGTGACGGAGAAATATCTGATACCGGCTCGTGCTCGGCCAAGTCCGCCATAAGAAATTCAAAAGTTTGGACAATTACAGCACTAGATTAATAAGCCACATAACATATATGCACTTCTAATTGAGATCCGTGAATGAGACAGGAATGGTTTAATTGCAGGATGACTAACATAAGAGGAGATATAACACAAACCGAATAGCAGAACCCTGGAAACTCTACTGGCAAGGCTGAAACATCCTACTAACTGTCAAAGGATCCATCGACAGTGTTCGATGAAACTGCATCAATAAGAGATACAATAAATGGCTTGTGGTCAGTCAACAGTAGGTGGAGCGTGTTCACTGTTCACCTACTGGTAATTCGAATCTTCCGGGATTTCCACAAGATACGTACCTTTGACCCCACGCCTGTTTGAACAAAGCAGCATCCATCGGTTAATCCGCTAATATCACTGTGATTTCATTTGCTATTTAGGTTGTCCGAAAACATAGGCAAAGATCCTGATTATATATTCTGTTCATTATATTTCTGAGGTACATTGTCACATTTTCGCACAGTTAGTCTACTTATGTAGCACGGACAACTTCGTCGAACTTACATTATAATAGATTATATCAAATTGCCATCAAGTACTCTCATTTGCACAATAATCTGGCTTTGTTTGGAAACTTAACAGGTACGTCGGGGGGTTTTCGTCAACCTTATTATCAGCGTGCAACATCAAACAGATTATCATTAGTTTCGGGGAATGACTGCCTCCGAAAATTAACATTTACTGCTCAGAGCCAAGTTCTTCAGAACAATAATTTATTTTGGTGCAGTCCAGTGTAGGCTAATTCATCGCTGGTGGCAAGAGAGTCCATACCACTGACACAGAAGCAAACCACCAATTATCTAATCAGAAGTTAACCAAGCGTGAATCGAGGCTGAACACGGTCATTTAGTTATACACAAAATCAGCAACGGGAAGAGTCAACAGACAGTTCGTAAGCTTATAAGATGAAAGGTGGGAGGAGGTGGCAGTCTATACTTGCAATCTGGACGCTAAGAAATAAAACATTTCCTCCAATCAGCTTTTTCGATACAGATATGCTACTCGGTCGACTGTTCTCCAGCGCTTCAAAACGTGATAAAAATGATGGACGACTTGCGGTTTATATCTAACAAAATTGGTTCTTTCTGTAGTGCCTACAAAACCACCACAGATGTTCTGCTTTGGTGTCGGGCTATTTGGGAGAATGGATGACGATATATTCTTTATAGGTTCTAGACTGTAACCATGGCTTCCTGGACCATCCAGTCCAGGAAGAATTGCTTTTGAAGGGCATTCGCTCCTCTTTAGAATACAAAAATCCCATCCTAAGAGAAACTAAAATTAAATTACTTTATCAAGTGGACCTATTCAACAGTTTTTTTCAAATTCACCCATTGATTCTACCTTTTTTCCAAATGACACTATACCGGTTGTTGCCAGGATTCGCTAGACAGTTCAGGCATGCCTTCCGAAAATAAAACTCTGTATTTGTCCAACTAATCTCAACTGTATATTGATCTGGCTGAGTCCAACTGAAAGTCTCGTTTATGATATCCCCATTCAACGGAATGTGTTGCAGTTGTGGTTGGAACGATATTCGGGTCACCGCAATACGTTGTCCAGTTTCCCGTTAGGTTGCTGAAAACTCTTCAGGAGATCACTGCCCATTTTGCCGTCCACTGCTGCAACAGCCGTGCAGTACTGATGTTGGCTTCACTAACAGCACCAACGCTCATCTGAAACAGCCATACCTAGAACTTGCAAACATTACGTTACGATACGAGGAGAGATCATCAGTGCGCACCCAAATGTGCCAGTTCCCAAGCTCCGCAAACAGATCAACAGCCACCCGATCAACAACCCATTTTTTTCACAAAATACCAATACTTAGACCTCGCACTCGATTCACTGCCTGCCAACATGTCCGTGTTATCCTTTGTCGACTTCATTCGTTTTTGATCAGTCCTCCCACTTCACTAGGCTGACTAAATCGATTGCTTTGGGCCATCAGGACTGCTCGAAACTCGGTTGGTGGGTGGAATTGGTTATCAACATTCAGGAAAACATAACTAAGGTGATCCGCAACAAGTTAGCCTCCTTGACAGTAATCAAAGGAAGTTGGACCAGCGCTGATATTTTGCCTGCTCGAATAGGGTGAAACACTGAGTATTGGTTGGTTGGAAGGTCGCACTTTGACTTGATGAATTAGTGAGCTCTGGCGGGGCAATCTTTTTCACGCCAAGTCTATGTGTTTTCCTCAGTTATCATTTGCGTCCAACCCGTCGCAACTTGTCCTCTGATTGGACGGAGCACACGGGCCTCAGCTAATGGATTTCCACAAAGCGGATAACGGAACAATTTATATTCACCTCTAAGTTTTTATTGTCTACATTGAAGAAGGATTTATGGAAGAAATTTATCTTACCTTGAGGTGTGAAGCACAACAAGTAGCAACATCTCGGAGTGGCTGAAGTCTAATTCCTTCATCTGAGGACACGGAGTCATGCAGATTTGATTGGGCTGTAATTGGACAATACATGTTATCATAAAAACCGTCTATTCGGTATTGATGAGCTTGAGATAGCTCGGTGGTTATGGTGCGAACACTTACTAATTGAAAGTTCCGATATTCTAACCCAACCCTGTCATTTGAATCCCTCACGGGACAAGCTAGAAATATCTCAGCCTCCTGCTTCCTTCAGGGGGCTCGGTAGCTAGGTACTGAAAAATCGTTGTGGCTGAACGATTATTAGTATTTAGTAGTGAACAGGTCATTATTGGAGGACTGAATCTGTTGTAGCTGCATAATACGAAGGGAGATAGCAGAGAATTTATCAATCACACTTTGCTAATAACCTCATATTAAATATCTACTTTGATAATAGTCCGCGCTATTTTCTCCCAGCTGGTAGATTTCCGCCTTGTCTCGAAATCTGCCTTTTTCATAGTTTTCTTTAGAGATTGTATGAATACGTAACAGATTGGCCTAGTTAACGCTGCGCGACTGACGCGCCGTGTGTAGGTCACGTGCCGCCGCACAATGACAACCGATTATTACCAAGCCGGTTGGGAGAAGCACCAAAGTGGCACGTGCGTTTTTGATGCCTGTCAAGTTTATGCGATTCCAATAGACTAGTTTACTCTTCTTCAGGTCGTAGCAGTCGTCTATTGAGGGGCTTGAAGCTTCATTCCGGAATATAAGATTTGGCAGGTGCCTACATTTAGTTGGGCTAGTGACTCATGCAATTTCATCATCAAACGTAAAGCTGAAATAATCTTCTCCGAAAGTCACTAGTTGTATCAGGGACATCTGTAAGGGGAATCATAGTTGTCATCCAAACTAGGCCAGAATGTGACAGTTTTTTCAGGTTATCTTCTCGTTAATTTGTCTGAATATTGGTAGCTCGGGTGCATTAGTTGGCGGCTGTTGATCTGTTCTCTGAGATTGGCAATCGATTTGTAAACGATTCGTCACCATTCGAAGAAATTTTCAGTGCGTTGTTAGGCGCGCCACATGATCAATTACCAACTAGTTTAGCTTCTTTTATGGAACAAGCAGAGCTGCTCAATTTTTGTTCATCATCGGGTATTAAATCACGGGAAACTTCGGTGTATCAGATGGTGGGATTTTATCCAATTCCTGTGTAATTTCCCGGTACGCAATCTCCTTTCTGACTCGGCCTATTATGCTCATCTACTTCTCGTGACTGGGTAGCATTGATTGCAGCGTCAGTCCTGAAGCAGCGTTTTCCCCTAGAACTGTGATCATCGGGAACGTAAGCTGTTCAACGAAGAAAATCGCATAATTAGCTATTTGATCTCACACTGAATTTGAACCTGTCACTCCAAACCCGGAGATATTGCAGGAAAAGGTCTATTTTGCTCCGAGTTATCAATACTTGTTGTTCGCTGTGATCTATAGGAGAACTGCGACTGTTCATCTCACTACTATACGTGGAATGCACAGTATCGTCTAACGTGCTCTTGTCGGAGACTTCTTCAGAACTGTGGAGCAACATTTAGCCTAACTGAGGAACGGCAAATCAAATGGGCGTAGTTCATGGTCTCCGATAGCACTCAGTCACCGTAAATTGGTTTTGACCGAGCATTGTCGTGTTAGTTATTTCTGCATGACTGGAGGCTAATCATATATTTGATGACTATTTGCTAGACACACCGTCCATGTTTGGAAAATTGCGCTGCTAGCCCGGCCCTACATCTGAGAAGAACACCATCTGTTTATAGTTTGTACTGGATTCTCTGTTTACTCATTGGCGAAGGAATACTAGTAGATGACTACGGTGACATGTTTTTAAGAAGTAAACCATAGAGATTCGAGTTAATTTTGAAGGATGTGTAACCGAACCACAATTGCTAAAAGAAACCTTGGCATCTATGTTTGGTTGCGGTTTAAATGCAGCTGTCAGTGGTACATTTCACTGCGGTTACCTATACTTCTGGAGCACTATATAATGTGCGAAAAAAAACTGGTAGCTGGAATGGTGTGAAACCAACTGAATTTTCAAATAAACTCATTTGCATACTAATTCGTTTTCTCAAAGGGGACTCACCTGAAACCCAGATGAGATGGCTTAGTGGATAGAGCGCGAACTTTCTGATTCGGGGAACCGCAGTTCGAACCCGATCGCTGCATTTTGGCTTACCCTGTCCAAGCTTGAGCAACCAGGCAGTATTCAAGCCATCGTGCTCCCTTCGGGTGGCCTGACAGCTAGACACCGAAAGGGTGTTACAATTGAACGATTCCTAGCTACACAAAGGCCGGAACGGAGTGTAGATAAGACTAATTTATGCCGAAAAACCGAGAAGCATCATACAGCTATTTCACCTCTGTTTTGAATCAGCAGCAGTGCACAATTTACTAAACTCAGAAAGTTTCGAATTCACGACCTCTTGGTCGGTAGTTTAAAACAGCTTTTCTTAGCTTCTTAGCTTTTCACTTACAGGATGAAATCTGCACCAAGAGTATATATATATATATATATCGCTACTGAGGGGAACGTAAGATAATACAATACCCCACGACATATGTCGCCTATCCGGATTGATGCGATCAACGATAGAGCCTCCGTATTTAAAAACAAGACGATCGGCCTACATTCGCCTGGTGCGCCGATCACACGCTTTTTCTTCTTTCAACAAGTGACCAATGAAGTACGAATTGGCAGTGCCCCGAAAGATGGAACGATGTTACTGTATGGACCGACCAAGGATAATCTGGCAGTTTCATTGCCCTTCGCATACAAATTTCGCAGTGAAGAATACTGTAAGTCACTTTGTGGTTTGGTCATCCTGCTGGTGACTACCAATCCCTCTAACGGTGTTCTTTACCACCCCAACCTAATTTCTGTTATTCATGGTTAGTGGTTCACAGTGAGCATTTCGATCACAAGCAATTGATTAATAGTATCACTTAGACAGGACAAATAGGCACTCATATTCAATTACTGATGCAGCGAGGTATGACGAACTGATGTGCCCGATCTCCAGGACTGACATTTCTCAATTTAGTGGCCATGTTAAGGGATATAGATGGCTCGTGTGGGCTGTTTGTCTGTTCAGTGACCTTGGAAGTTGGACTGCAGACACAACTCGAGCTGACGTCGAAAGCGCGGTAACACCTCGATTGGTAACGGAACTGCCAAATCCGACAAGCAGGCAGACAACCAATTTTTCAGATTTACGAAATGCAGATCGCAGTATGCATTGCGTGACGGTAAGAGAGGTAGATAGTGAGGTGATATGTAAGTAGCTACTGCTGCTGGTCTTGAATATGTTTAGATAGCCTCGTCACGCTTTGGTCCATAAGAAAAAAGGAAAACGGTAAGCCGGATATGCGTTCTTATTAGACTGATGGAAACATACTTGAATAACCTCGAATTTCGTATGGGGCGGTAAAAAGGCTTAATTTGATCTTTTATTTCTTACCCTTGAACAAATAGTAATCAAAATAGGGTGGATGGCAAAACCAGCCGGTTTATTTTTCACTGAGCAGTTTTATCAAATGTAATGATTTAACACACCACCGTGTCATTGTGTACGCAGATATGTTTAGAGCGGTGACAAAACTCAAGTTGGAGCTCCAAATTACTACTTAGCAGCAGTGGTTGTCCACTTAGCAGCTGCAAGTGAAAACCTCGAAGTGGTTGACGGATGTGCGGTTTTAGAGATGACCTGATGTGTTTTCGAATAGATGTAGTCTGTGTGCGACGGAAATGAAACCGATGAACTTGAAGTGAGAGGCCTTAGTGTTGACGGGCAATTTAAACACCTGCCCGACCATAAAATGCTCCAAGGTTCTGTCGCACCTGCTCTGCAATAAATCACCCTCTCCGATAGTCCACCTAATAAATCAATTTCTATCGAAAGGAGGATAGGGGGTGAAATCCTTAGCTTGCTTTTTTGGAAGACATTACCCTCGACATTACCCTCACTAATAGCCCACCTCAGTCATAAGATTCCTTCAAATGTTTGGCGTTGCAAAGACGTCTGTTTTGAGCATGGATTCCCAGAAAACATTTCATGTTAGCGAACGATAGCCTGCAACCAATGGAAAATTGTCCGGTAATCTTCAGGTGTCCCTGGCGCTATCCGACAGGGAAGTTCGGATAGGTGAGTCAGTCGATCGACACAAGTGGGACAGCTACTGTGTTCTGCTCACATCTCTCTCGTTTGAACAATTGTGCTCCTGTCCTGACCAACTCATACTGGTAAGTCCCAACCAAAGGATTAAGAACTGGACTCGAGTTTCGCTCTTAATAGAGCTCATCAAGTGGTGCACATACTTGGTGGTTCAGGGGGTCAAACTCCGGACGTCTGAGATGCGAGGCAAGCGTATCACAAGTACTCCAACAGCACATGGTGGACGCAGCTAAATTTTCATGTCGATCAGACTTGAGCGATGTGATTGGATGGCCCAACGCCTCGAACTGACAAGGGTGGGCCGAGCGAATGACCCACCCGCCAGGACGTCCCAGTTACTGGGTAGTCATTCAAGGCGTCGGGTGAACCAGTCGTTTCACTTGAGCGCGAACATGTTTGCCTGCGTCCACCGTGCGCAGCTGGAGTTGTGGTAACGCACTCGCCTCGTATGTCAGATGTCCGGGTATTTCAGACCATGGCACTACCAAGGATGTGCACTACTTGATGAGCTCTAATACAAGCGGAACTAGAATCCACTTCTTAGTCTTTTGTTTCGGAATCACCAGAATAACTGGACCAGGACAGGAGGATGACTGCTCAAAAGAGAGTGATGTGAACGTAAGTTCTGCAGATCCGGAAAACACGCTTTTGACGCTTCCTTTACTGGCTAAATGTGATGCATTGTGGGAAACAGTGAAATTATCTGTCCTGCCCCACAAATACAGTGAACGATGTGAAAAAATGCTAACCAGACGGTACGTCTTTAGGGGCGGTAGGTCATTCATTTTTTATTGTGAATAGTCACAACTAAAAAGGGAAGCCTTGAATATGCCCAGATAATGACGAAT